ATGCTCCGCATAAAAAAAAGCCAGGTTTGCGTGGAACACGCAGCATTGCCACTACAAAAGGTGGAAGAGCAAAGTTTGTAGAACCTTTTATGTGCGAATGCACTTTATAAGCGACCCTGAATCTGCCGTCCGCGGTGCACCTCCTCCTTTCCGCTAGCAACGGCGTGAGGAGCGGAGAGGAGCATTTGTAGCAACGGCGCAGCGACGTCACACACCACGTGAATACGCGCGCTCCACCCTCCACTCCATGGCGCCCACGCAGCCACGCATTTCTCGAAATCAGCCAGTCGTCATAGGTATGGATCCATCGCAGGCATCAACCTCGACTGTGATACCTCCAACAAGGAGTATAACGCAATCGAATGCGAGCATTGCACGCGTCGTTGAAGATGTCGCGCCGGTTGAAGACAAGGCAGCACGGCGAAGGACCCGTGATGCCGAGCGCAAGCGGGCGAAGCGGGGCCATGAACATAAACAACATTATACTGCGAATTCACTCTCACATATGCGCGTAAACTCACCAAAATTTCCCGAGAGGGTCTAATGGTTCCTGGAAATCGCAATGTGATCACACGGGGAAGTTTACGTTAACTCACTTGCGCATGGCAACGGATTTTAACTTTACTCCTTCTCATAGCATCACCCCGTGCAATCGCACTTAACCATGTTCACCTTTGGGTAAATACTTGGGAGTTTTTCTATATTCTGTGGGTAACTGCTACAAGCACACTTTCTGGGTGCCCACTACACCATAAATAATATTTTTTTGTAGTAGGGAGGCATCTACAGTACCATTATTCATTATTTTTCGATGAAGCGTCCTTGGTACCTTCTAGACCTTTCAAAAAATTTGTGCACTTTCTTAATGCTGTGGCTGATGACTAGGAAGAATTATTCCTAGCGCTATTGTTATAGGTTAGAGCATTAGACGATAAACTCGTTACGCAAGTTAGATTGTGTAAGGCATAGTTGTTCCTGTGCTGTTCTAAAACGCTTCATCACACATATTGACGCTATTCATTTCCCAACATTAAGCCTGCCTTGGCTCAGCTTGCAAAAGAGTTTAAATACCGGCGTAGCCCAGTGGTAGAATACTGAGCGGGCACGCACGGGACCCTTGTTATAATCCCAGTACTCCTCAATGGTTTTTATAAACTCAGTTTTTTTTATGTTTCCGCCAAGAGTAGTTCCATACACCTTTGTTGCAACAGCCCTCGTGATTTCTTAAACGCTTTGGCTGTAGGGTAGATCTTCTGGGTGCGCCTGCCTCACCTGACTATGCGCCTGCGCTAGACCCGAGAAAAGTTACGCTATTTACCGCTAAGGGGAATCATATGTAGATGCGAAACAGCTCACACTACCACTCACACTGGCGGTGACGTTGGCGCTGACGCTTATTGCGGCGTCGCGCACGAGGGAAGCCTAGCAAGGCATAAGGCATGCAGCGATAGACTGGTGTGTTCTACAGGAACAAGGAAATCGCTACTAATGGGCAGTGAAAAATAGCCGACTCCGACTATACAAAAAGACCTGCAGTCTGCTTTTACTTAACGCTAACGCTGCGAATTTTCCTTATGCAACAATGCAGAGGAGATATTCCGTGCCATCACAGCCTTGAAGGTCAAGATCCGGTAGTCAGTGAACGGTTGTGCAGCGTGAGCAGTCCAGTTTAGGGGCGAAGCTCCTTAGGCCTGGCGCCCGTGATGTATGTATGTATGTATGTATGTATGTGTGTATGTATGTATGTATGTATGTATGTATGTATGTATGTATGTATGTATGTATGTATGTATGTATGTATGTATGTATGTATGTATGTATAGTAGGCTATGTATGTATGCATGTATGCATGCATGTATGCATGCATGTATGTATGTATCTATGTATGTATTGATGTAGGTATGTATGTATGTACTGTATGTATGTATGTATGTATGTATGCATGTATGTATGTATGTATGTATGTATGTGTGTATGTATGCATGCATGCATGTATGTATGTATGTATGTATGCATGCATGTATGTATGTATGTATTTATGGTATGTATGTATGTAGTATGTATGTATGTATGTATGTATGTATGTATGTATGTATGTATGTATGTATGTATGTATGTATGTGTGTATGTATGTATGTATGTGTGTGTGTATGTATGTGTGTGTGTATGTATGTATGTGTGTGTGTGTGTATGTATGTATGTGTGTGTGTGTGTATGTAGTATGTATGTATGTATGTATGTATGTATGCATGCATGTATGCATGTATGTATGTATGTATGTATGTATGTATGTATGTATGTATGTATGTATGTATGTATGTATGTATGTATGTATGTATGTATGTATGTATGTATGTATGTATGTTATGTATGTATGTTTGTGCTAGTAGTAGTGGTGGTAGTGGTAGTAGTAGTAGTAGTAGTAGTAGTAGTAGTAGTAGTAGTAGTTGTAGTAGTATGTAGCCACGTCCAAGGCTGAACTAGAGCAGCGATACGCGCGCACTCTTTTGAATTGAGGAGGAAACGCGACCACGTTAATCATAAATAAAAAAAATGGCAGATTCCACGCATACAGTAGAAATCGATAATATGTGAAGCACGAATGAGAAATGTCTATATGTCAGTTAAAAATCGCCCCAACGTTACGAGGAGGAGGTACATGATGCCGTAAATGACTTCCGTGTCGTGATTATCATGTTTCGATGTGTCGTTTACTTTCGTCATCTAATTACGTAACGTGATACCGAATTTAGCATATGTGGAGCTAGCGAAACGGCCGCGAGCAAGCTATGAGCGTGGTATGTCGTCATATTCTTACATGACAGGCGTGTCATGACTATCATGTTTGCACCACTCATACATTTCGTCATCCATTGACGTCACGTAATAGCTAATTTTGTATATGTGGAGTTAGAAAAAACGGCCGTGAGTGCATCATAAAGTCCCAATGTACTCCAATGTAGCGTGGACGCGCGCGCACGCTGGGCACAGTGAGTAAAGACATTTATCGATAAAAAAAAGAGGAGAGGTGAAGCCCTTTAGAGGCTTCGGAACAGTGATGCTACGTTAAAAAAACGCGAGCACTTTATAGCCTGACGCCAGGCGCGACCAACGTACTTCGGCGCGGCCCGGCGGCAACCGGCGCGAAATGCGACATGCTGAATTTCGCGCCAATGCGTTACTCAGACAACACTACGTCTTCCTCTTTTCAAGACGGACGGACGCTGGACGCGCTGAAACATGCATGCGTCAAAGCAACGCAGCGCGGCGCGCGCCAGCGAGTATATGGCAGGACCGGTGCCTGGCGTGGCAACGCCGGCGTGACGCGACTAAATGAACGCCCGCGAGCATGCGCACCACGTCACGTCGAAATTTGTTGGCGCCTTGACTGTGGCATGTAGTCATGTTCTCACATGACACGCATCTCATGAATATCATGTTATCCCCAGTCACATACCTTCGTCATCCATTGGCGGCACGCAATACCGAGTTGGTACATGTGAAGCTAGGGAAACCTCCGCGATGGCATCATGAGCGTAGCATGTAGTCATGTTGTTACATGACACGCATGTGAGGACCTTGATGTTAGGGTCTGTCGCTTGTGCTCGCCATTCAATCATACCATACCAGTTTTGCAGCATTCCATGTGAACGAAACCACCGCAAGAGCTGCAGAACCACGAAGTGTTAGTCATGACATTCATGACATGAATCATAATGCACTTCGTGGATATGCTGTAATGTTTTTCAATCAAGAAAGTAACTGGTAGATCCTGCCTGTGTCGGCGTTGCGAGGTGAGAGTGGGAGGTGTAGAAGACGAGAGAGAGGGGGACGTGCGTGCTTAATGGCAGTAAATGCCGCAGAAAGGAATGTCTAGTGGAGAGGGAAAACGAGCGTCGGTTGGCAGACGCTCCCTCTGTCGGCGTTGCGAGGCAAGAGGGGGAGCGTAGGAGATGGAATAAGTTAGACCCGAGCAAGAGATGCTTCGAATTTAAAACCCCATCCGGGCTACAGGAGTGATACGACAGGCCAGTGATATCCTCTCAGCCAACCGTGGTGCTCCATCCCAGTTCAACATGCCGTGGAATGGTGGCTTTAGACAGAGTTCTGCGTCAAATATACGATGCTCTTGTGGGTATCACGCCTCTTTTAGGTGAGGAGAATTGCACGCCGCGCGTCGGCGGCGGTGCCGCCGACACCCACCCTGCGCATGCTCGCGACTGCCAACTATCGCTCCTCTTCCCCTTTCTCACCTCGCAAAGCCGACGCAGGCAGTGTCTGCTAGTAAAAAGAAGACTGCTCGCGGTACGAAACCGTTCACTGGCCACCTCGTACATGTAGGCACGAATCGCGTGTTCTAAATTCTACCAAGGGCGTCTTTACTTGAATTTCGCTTGACTGGACGCTTTGCTTGACACGAGTAGGTGCGATGAAAGCAACATTATCTTGAACCAGTAGTGGGGCACAGCCCTGCATCAGCGTACCACAACTCTTTAAAGGCAACGCTTCTCCTTCATTCAATAAATGAGAATAATAAAGACGAAATAACAATAAAGCATTCCTAAAGCATACTCAATACCTAACATTCACGTGGTACTCCCACCATTCTGCCACTCATTTATTGGAGTTCTCTACGTGGGAAGATGCGCGTGGCATTTTTTTATCTGATGACAATTTTGTGGGTAACGTCGGCAGCTACCACAATGGTTTGCCTAATGATTGAATATGGGCGCCAGTATAGTCGCGATGTAGATGTACCACCAAGCGTAAACCTTCGTGCATCCACGGTGAACAGGGTTATAACTGCCAAACACCAATACACATTTTTGCAAACTCTCCTATGTTATGGTACAATAAACAAACAATTAACACACCAAGGACATGGTTTAAATTGGTGCAATGCCGAATTCTATGAAGGAGGGATCAACGAAAGTTCTTTTCACCGAACTTTGCTACCTAAGCTTGAGAAAGAAACACGAAAAGGCAGAAAAACAACATACATCCTTTATATTGCCGCCCTTCTGCATGGAGATGATTCGCAGGTGGTCTTCTTCGTTAACCCACACAAGAAAGGTCTTGGCGTCGTTGTGGTAGATGCCTCGTCCTGTGGGCCAGAAGCGACAGGAGTTAGCTGCCTGCAGAAAGCGGTCTCCTTCCTTGAAGAGGAAGTGGTCGTCGATGAGCTGCTGCTGCACTTTCTTGTCCATGCCCGTCAGTGGGTAGTAGGTGCCGCTCAACTCGTCGTCGAGAGAGTTCAGTGTCGACACTACTTTCATCTCCATCTCCCGGTACTGAGTCTCGGTCAGGCAAGGGTTGAATGGGTAGCCCTGCATGATATCCGCACAACAGAAAACATCTCAGCGTGGCCTCGTGCTGAACACTTACAGGGGCAGTTCTTTGCACTAAGAATAGGGGTCATGCTTGCATTAAGCAAAAAAATCAACACGGCCTCAGAAGGAAAGTTGACATCTCTGTCACCATTTAGACATGAAGAAGAGACGTTTGGAATCGAACGGTTGTTTCAACTTACAAACACAAATGACATTTCAAAAGCCTCATAGCCAAGTATTTTTTATTGCATAAAATAACAATGACTCACGAGTGCAAGTCATTATGGCGACAAAGAATGCATAAAGTGTGATTTTACTCAATTTCTGATGAGAAAGATATCTTCTGCAGTCACGTGACCCTTACAAGCATCTTCAAAAGTATTCTGGTGTTTCCTATGCGCTGTTTTGGAATGTCAGCGTATGTTAAAAAACACCACGTGGTTGAAATTTCTGGAGCCCTCCACCACGGTGTCTGTCATTATTAATCATATGGTGATTTCAAAAGTGCATCCTCAGATATTATGAACTTTGTTGTGGTCGTTTGTTTCACCAATTTTTGTTGAGCTGCGACTGAACGGTATGCCCGACTTTGAAAAGGTATATCTGCACTGAAGTCGGTCGCGTGAATGCGTGTTAGCTCGGGGAATTTTTAAACGTAACGACTCAGTGTCGAGTGCCTGACAGTTTTTCCGTCTGGTAAATGTAGAAACGGCCACCTCCATGAGAGAGATGACATGATGATAGTAGAACTGGCTGCTAGGTCCCATACCTCCCCCTCTCCCGCGAAAAAAATGAAGATGGGGCAAAAGAGCCACGCACACACGCTTAAGGGTGCTTCCTTTCGCAATTGATGAAGGTTTAAGCTCGCCGTTGGTAATGTAATCTGGAACGAGTCTCTCATGACCATAAAAGACACAAAAACAGTGAATTCGTAATGCAGTGTCGTGAATCATTATGAAAAGATCTAAAACCTGGACATGCAAACAGAAACCATATCAAAAAACGAAAGAAAGCACAAGCGCCAACACACAGTCGTGGTGTTTGTGGTGTACTCAGATTTTTCTTGTGTCCGTGTTTGCATGACTAGTCTTTTAGAATGAATACTTAACAACATAGCTTCCTGTCATGTTAACTTCCAAAAGAATAAATGAATTCGGTTTTTTTGATGCACTCCCTTTTCGCCTGCGGTTTCGTAAAGGATTCAGGGAGCATCTACCATAGTATATATACGATGTGCAGCGGTGTGTTCTTAACCTTTGTGTGTATATGTAGACGCGCACATAAACAAAATGCAAGCACAAAAATACGTAAAGTGTGGTTACCCCCTTCCTGAAATACATATCAGCGAAACAAGTATAGCATGCAATATTGGTTCAGGCACGCCTGAATGTGGGACAAGTAGTATAAAAACCTTAAAAGCGTTCAGGTGTTGAAAACAGCGTACAATAGACGATAATTTGGAGACGTTGTCTGCTACAAGCTAAAAAAATCCTCGGATCATTTGGAATCAGGTATTGCGATAAAAATGCGTGTTTTAGGGCTGAAATTAATGCAAAAGAACAGATGGACCACAGATATTTACTTGGAGAGAACGGGCGCATCGAATCCGAGTGGACACGACGAAGTCGTTCGTGGGGTCGACGTTCTTCAGCGTGCTCAGGTCTCCGAAACTTGTGGGCGGATGGCGATCGGTGGGTTTGAATTTGTGGTAGTCCTGGATGACAGGATCGAACAGGTCGGCGAACACTCGGTAGGACTCGGCGTCCGGTGCGTATATGCCCACACCGCTGTCTAAGTTCTCTACGCCTACAAGGAGACACACAAGTTTGCATCACATTACGGGAACGCCACTAAAAAATGTTGTGAAGCAACACGTACAGTGGTGAGCACTGTTACGGTGAACACACGAGTGCGTGGCCGACGGCACTATCAGTGCCACGTAACAGCCATCGTTGCAAACATTGCACATGCGCAGCATGTGCTTTGCGAAACACTCTTTCCACCACGCACATCACGTCATCGATGCGCTTTTTCGTCGTCTGCTACACTCTTAAAAAAATGGAGTGACGTTTTCTCCATTTAGAGAGAAACGGCGATGTCCCCAATGTTCGTCTTTAAATAGAGAAACGTTGCTTCCTCATCCACGGAGAAACACGTTCCTCCTTATGAAAATCAGCATGGCTGCCCCCCCGGCGAAGCGAGTAGGCTTAGCAAATGCAACGATTCTCGACTGATAAGGAGTGCACGGCACTGAAAGTTACAAAAAACGGTCCCGCTGAGCTTGATATTGCACGAAATGATTATAAAAACAAGCAGACGAACCTGTGGCGGTGAACACATCGCGAAAGAGAACGACGGAGCAAGTACGTTTCGTTCGGTCAGCGAAGCCACGTTCACTCCGATAGACACGGATATACACTGCAGAGCCCTCACCTGAAGAGTGCATGCTAGGCTTGCTGTATTTATTTTTCGCAGATTCACATAATGTAGCGAGTTTATCCATGCGTTTACGGGTCCACAGGTCAAGAGATGTGCCTCCAAACCATAGACTCGATCGCAGCGAAACCATTCCGACTCAGTATTGCAGCTTTGATAGACAGATGTTCAACGTTATATAAGTAGCTGGAGGTGTGAAAGCGTCATAACCGTAAAGTAGGTGGTAGCTGGCGCCATCTCGAGGGACTAAACAAAACTAAAAAAAGTCGCCTGGCGCGACGTACGTTGTCATACCCACTTTCACGGCTCTCTTGCGAATTGTTTACACCTCAGCCATTCAGTATTACTGACGTCACATTCATTGAGGATTACCTTCACTGACACTGGAAGCCTAAATATGCGCTGGTGCAATGCATATAAGCACACGTGCACACATATAATACTGCACATAAAGCACGCATCAAGTATACGCAGTCATATACGCTAACAAGTACGCAATCAACCACTCACAGCAACGACCCACGCTACGACGTGTTTACTCACATCTTACTATGAAAGCACGCCAGCTTATATAGCGATGAATTTCGACTGACCATAGTGGCACAAGTTGCAAGTAGGTTTTCTTACACTTTTTTTACGTTTTGTATCAATACCACAACATGCGCACACGTAAATATATTGTATCTGATGCTAAGACAAACGCGAGTTTATCGATGATTGCACAATAATGAACGGAATAATAACTAGAGCTTATCAGGTTTTCACGAAGGCGGATACCCCCAAACCTTGCATAGAATGCCCACGGCATTATGAACGCTGCGCCATCTGTTGACCACTGCCACAGTTACTTTTTTTTCCTTGAAGCCTTCGAGAGTGCAAACACTTGCCGCGCGTTAGCCATTTCGGAGGTTCCGTTTCTTTTTCTTCTTGTTACTTGGAGAGGGCGCAGCATGCAGACCAAACTTCGTCTCCGTCGTGGTAGGCGTTCTGTGGTCACGTCGACCTAGTTTAGTTGCTTCGTCTTAACGTTTGCTTATATTCTTTTTACGTGCGTACCACAAGTGTGCCCGTTAGCCATGGATACAGTACACCACTAGCCCTTCAATGACAAGGTTTTTAATGCGGTAACGACCGTCCTAGCAGTGTATACGTACGTTACAACGCGGGTCTTGTGAGAGAAATAAGCGATGACCTCGCATCCGACGGTATTTTTTCGTGAGCTATGACAGTGGCTGTTGGCGTCGCGGCAGCTCTAATACTTGAGTGGAGGAACTATCGCTGCAGTGCGCAAGCTTACTATAACTTTATTGAATGTTGTGTCTGCATACATTTCTGCTTCAGATGCCTCTCGCGATTCGCCTCGCGAGTCAACTGGCAATCATAGTGCGTGCCACAATTTTGTTGTTAGCGCTGCGGCTGTGTTGGTTATTACTCTGGATTCGGAATATTCTTTTCACAAAGGTGAGTGAGCGTTAGTACTTACTTGCTGTGCACAGCTGTTCCTAGAAGTGCATTTTGTGTTGAGTTTCTCATGACAAAGGAGAATCATGGACGAGAAAGGCATACTGCACGCGTGCATAATTCCTTCCTACTTCTCAGTGCTGGCATGGGCAATTCAAAACGAATGCGATTCAGAATTTGGTTTAACCTACAGAAGTCATTGGTTCACTTTTCACGAAAGTTTAGTCATGATGATGTTTAAAATGTTTCTGATGGTTGTAACGTAGCCTGGCGAATAAACACTCGGTGAAAATTCGCAGCCTGTTTCCCTTTGTGCTTTCACCTGCCGTGGTAGCGTAGCCTTATTGGGTGTCGTGTGACTATGCTGGAGGACGCAGGTTCGACTTCCGGCCACGGCGGCCGTATTTGAAGGGGGGTAAACTGCAAATAACATTCATATGGCGGTAGTGGCACGTATAACTCTATCAATTGTATATGATCGTACTTTCACTCACGCATGGAGTGTACAGTGGTATCAGGTTTTCTAGAATGATGAAAATTAAGTGTGATGTTTTTTTACGCGCGTCGTTGAATTCACGAGTGCTGTTGGTGCCGTGCGAAACTAAAAGTGCGTGGGCTTACCAAGTATGTCGACACCGAAAAAAAATCATTATTTTTTTTTTTACACTCTAAGGTAATCGATATAGCAAGACTGCTTGGGAAGCAGAGCTCTTTGTATTCGTGACAAATTCGTAGTTTCAAACAACACGAGACACACACGGAAGTGTGCGGAGCATCGTGCGAGTGCCCGACGATAAAAAAAGAGAGGCTTTTACTCTACACTAATAAAACAAAAGAAAACGTCACTCCTGCATTGCTTACAACAATCTTAGGTAAAAGCAATCGCTCGCGACTGGCCGCGGCCGGCTATAGGCTTGGCGTGCGCATACGCGCGAGCAAGACCCCCGTGATTGAGGAGAAACTTGAACGCTGAAGGAGGAACGTTGCTCCTTTGGTCCTTGCCGCGAGAGGGCGCGACGGGTAAAGCGCCCGAAAGGGAGGAAGTCACTGCGCCGAAGGACAAACGGAGCCCGTTTCTCCATTCTCACTCCCTTTTTTTTAGAGTGTAGCCGCATTTTTTTGTTCGCTGAGCTGATACCTACTGCATTTCAAGGTCCATCAGGTTTGAAGATTGGCGCGTGAAGGAAAAAGGTCAGTGTAAGAGGGATAATTATTAACCTTTTTATTCAAGAAAATTGCACTTTTTGCAATTCAAGTTAAACAACACCATGAGAACAAATATAAAAACATGAGCAAATCTAATAGTGAGTTATGTGACCACTTACAGCAACGACTGCACGTATTCTGGACGGTAACGAGTCGTAAAGTGATGGAACATATTCCCGATCGGCTTTCAGCCTTTCCCACCCGTTGCTGACTTGCGCCCACAACTGGTCCGAAGTCGCAGAATAAAGGGGCTTCCTTGCCAAAGAAGCTTTCAGACGGCCCCACACGTTTTCTATCACATTCAGGTCCGCTCCTTTCGGAGGCCATTCCAGTTAGTGATATCCAGTAGCTGCATGTGCTGCTCCACCTAGAACTCCTTGACAGTCCGCACCGTGTGTAATGGTGACCGGTCCTGTTGGAACAGGTAATCACCGTCTGGGAATAAACTGCTCGCATGTGGCAACAGCACATTGTTCAAAATGTTGCAGTATTGTTCCGACAATAAGTCTCCACGTATACGTTGCAGGGGCCCTAAATCAAATCTTGAAACAGCACCCCACACGCTCACACTCGATCTCCCACTGGCAGAAACACCTTGCACGTTGTCTGGGTCGTTCCTGCGTGGCAGTTTGACGTTAACTAAAAGAATTGCTTTTCAAAGCAGGAAGTCTGCCTCACCATGTGCCTGGTAGTCTCCAAACACGCAATCTTTGTTCTTGTCGCGTCGAAAACGTTGACTCATCCGAAAAGATAACGCGACCCCACTCTTCCGATGTCCATGCTTCGTGGAACTCAGCGAACTGCCGTCGTGCGTCCTTGTTTGCCGCCGTTAGTAGTGGCTTCTGCGCGGCGACGCGACTGCGAAGGCCCGCAGTACGCAGGCGACGTTGAACAGTGGTGTCCGAAACGTCCAAATCCAAGTCGTCCCGTATTGTTGGGGCTGGCAAGAAAGGGTTACGAACAGCAGCTGCAACTATGAGGACGTCTTCATCGTCTGTGGTAGCTTTAGGGCTGGGCGCGTGGGGTGCACCCTGAATGCGACCTTCATACTTGTAGGCTTGAATTATCTTGTTCATATTCTTCAGGGGCCTACTAACTAAAGCGCCAATATACCGCTGGGAGTAACCTTTCAAGGGAAAGATCGACAATTGAGCGCCGTTCGTCATCAGGAACCATAGCCATAATACGATCTGGCGACAGAATGGATGGCTGCAATACATGTTTGGTTGTTTTATATACGGCGCTGCATGCACAACTTTGAAGGGAACGAATAGATACGCCCCCATAGATATAAGTTTTTTGTCTTGTTCTGTTCAAGCACATATGTTTGAACAAATCTTAAAATGCAGGATGCATGGGCTTAGAAAACAAAATTGCGGCTAGCAAACGACGAACAAGTGCATTCATGACGTCGTGCGCGCGGTGGAACAATTATTTCGCGGAAAGCGTGATGCGCATGCGCAATGTTTCCAGTGATGATCGTAACGAGGCGCTGACAGTGCCGTCGGCCACGCGCTCGCGTGTTCACCCTAACAGTGCTCACCACTGTAGATTTGGGCTGGAAGGTATATATTCATCTTATTAGAAAGGGTGCACAGTCGCCTTTGCATGATAAAAAAAGAAACAATAGAACGAGCGAGAGAAAATAATCTTTTATTCGTTAGTGATATACAGAGGGCCTTCGTTGGGTGCAGCCCTCATTC